AAAAAAAAAAAAAAAAAAAAAAAAAAAAAAAAAAAAAACACATCATAGTAAAACCAATTGCATCGAAGCTAAAAGCCAAATATGATGCAAATATGCACAAATATATACTTTATAATGAATTTCTTCTTCTTAAAGTCAAGATTTTATTATATTATCCATTGTCTTTAAAACTCAAGTTATAGTTTATATTATTAACTTGACGGCTTGTATAACTCGATCAGAAACGCGTCCTTCCTTGGGGCATAGCTATCGAAGTTAGATGCCCTTTCTCCGAGCTATACAGGTTTTCCCGTCCATTCTCATAACAAGAATTGTGTTTCTTTGTTTGACGGAAATTAAATAAGAATAAAAAAATATACCATATTATAAATTATATATTATGTTGTCTAGTTTTTTTAAATCTAGCCCTATGTGCAAGACGGTGATGAATGACGAGGTACAAAATAAAATAAAGAAAATACGACTGCTATGAAAAATTGTTCAGGCATAAAAGACTGCGAAAAAAAGCAGTAAAAGGATATGTGGTAAAACACATCAGAAGACGAGCAACTAATTCAGAGCTCATGTACTAATTGAACTCAAACTAAATTCGAAAAGAGAAAATCAAAAGCTTGATGAAATAATTTATCTATTATGTTAAAATATACTTCAAATATATTTATTTTATATATACAAACAAATTTTTTCAGACGATAAATAAGTTATTTTATCATTTAATACAGTTGATAGAACTATATAAATTTTAAACATACATTTTTAATGAATTTATGAATTAATATACATGAATTCCTATATATGCACTAAACTTTAAAATATGAAAAATATCCATTATAAATACTTTTATAAAAATTTGTAGAGGTATACATGATCAATATTCTAAACCCTTATAATCGCGTACACATAATTTACAAAGATATAATTGCATAAAATTCCGTGTTCTATTTATCTCTAATAAGAAAAAATATGCTTTTAAAACACTAAGAAAGCAATAATTATATAAATAACCAATATTAATAAAATTTAAATTGAGTCAAAAATTATAAGAGATGTGGAAAAATGAATCACTCTGTATACATATAAATATAAATAATATACATACTGTCAGTGTTAATTTATCAGAAAGTAAGGCAATTAGGTATAGTCCTGTCCAATTGTACAAAAAAAATATCAACAATTCATAAAAATAGTGTCCAGGATTTTTTGATAGTTCATCAACATTAATATATGGAATCAAATACATGTATAAGAAAAAACGTATCAAATGATCATAAAACAAAAAAAAGAAATATATAATAAGGCAAGGTCCAAAGGCAGTACTTAGATCTTCAACTATTTCACAAAGGTGAGCGTGTGCTAAACGTTCAAATTCTATTGATTTTGCCATACTCTGAAGTTTAATAGTATCCATGTTGGATATTTCATTTTTCCATCGTATATTTAACATTTTTAATCTCCAACGTAGTTCATTGCAAAGTATCAATACATAAGTGGAAATAAAGTATTCCAATGCCTATATAGTAAAGTTGTATGTCAATATAAATAATAATATTGTTATTTAAATGTTTAATTATTATAAATTTTAAACACACGTGTGTTACCCATAAAATATTTTTCATTATAGAACTTGCAATTTATATTTTAGCTTCGATGCGAAGCTGAGAAGGTATTAATTTTACTATAATGTGTTTTTTTTTTTTGTGTGTCTTTTACCACTTTTTCTCAGCTCTCGCCTAACCGATTTCTTTCAATGATACGTCAAAATATCACAAATCGTATCTAGTCGAAGGCATTACCCTCGAAAATTGAAAAAATTTCCTTCATTCCCCGTAAATGGCGAAAACCTCCAAAAAAATTACAAATTTAAAAATCGCTAATTTTCGAAATTTTTTCAATTTTTTTTACTTAAAACTGCCATAACTTTTTCAAAAATGAACAAATCAATATAATTTTTTTTTATAGATGTTTAATGTCTTTACCTATCATTTGGTATATTTTTTTTATAAATTTAACCCTTTACCAGCTCACAGAGGGGATTCAAAATGACAACTTTTTCACAAATAATTAACTTTTTCAAATTAACTTTTGAAAGTGTTCCGGAAATACTGAAACTTTTATAAATATCTTAAATTAAAGCTTATGTAATATACTTTAATATAAAAAAAAAAAATGTGAGACTTTATTTTGTATTCACGGTGAAAATGGCTATCAAATGATATTTTTGTGTGAAAATTCTCGATTTTATATTTTACATTTTTAACTTTATAATGCTATAACTTATTGAAAAGTGTACGGATCAACACAATTTTTTCTATAAGAAATAATATTTATATACTTCTTTCATTCAACATACTTTTTTTTTAAATCGGACCATTTCCCTTAATACAGGGGGGGTTCAAAACATAAAAATGCATATAGAAAGTAAAACTTTTTCAACTTAATTTTTAAAAGTGTTCCGGAAATACTGACACTTTTATATATATCTCAAATTAAAAGTTTTTGTAATATACTTTAATTAATAAAAAAAAAAAATGTTGGACTTTATTTTGTCTTCACGGTGAAAATGGTTATCGAATGTTATTTTTGTGTGAAAATTCTCGATTTTATTTTTAAAATTGTTAACTTTATAATGCTGTAACTTGTAAGCCAAACTAATATACATCAGCCTCACTTTACAAGAACCCAATGAGTTGGTCCACCCTGGGCCGAGGCAAAGCCGGAGCACCAGGGATTTTGTACCTTATCCTATGGGGAAAGGTTATGAAAACTAGTAATAATTTAAGATAACAATGATTAGATTTTATTAAATATTATGATTTAATTTTGTAATTATCATAACAAAATACAATTTCTTGAAAAATTAAAACATTCTACTAAAGAATATATATATATATAATCATAAAATAATAGAAAGAAAAATCTATATATATATATATTAAATACCAAATTGTATGTTAAACACAAAATGTAAAAAAAAGAAAACACTATGAACAATTAACTTAAGGTCAAGGATTCCCAAGGAACTATAGGATTAATAGTATGTATAAAATAATAAGTATGCCACAAGTATATTCCAAAATGATTCAGTCAATAATATTTTTTTGCCCCATAAATTATTTATTTTACTTAAACTTTAGCATTTGCCACATATAACTGTAAAACAGTAAATTGTGTTTCATTGCACTAATCTAAAATTAAATGTCTACAGACATCCAGGCATCAGAACGGCCTCTGGATTTTCTATGTAATGTAACGATACATGATTCGTATATAGTGCTCACCTAGACACTATTTAAGTGTTCATTATCAGACAAATTTGCTGAGATACCAAATTCTGGATAAATAACTTTTAGCATAATGTTAAATAATTTATTTAAGAATGTACTAACAAGATAAACGGAAAACAGAATAAAATAGTAGGGTAACCTGGGCATGACAGATCCAACGCATGTGTCAGGGTAAAATGGACATGTCACCAACGTCAATGGGTATTCCCTACATAAATGTAGGGGACCCATTGAGATGTTCACCATGTCCACCCTGACCACACCCGAGGACCTGTCAGGTCACGAAAGAATAATCAAAGAAACGGGAAAGACTTGACCATAATTAAAATTTATATAGTCAGTAACTAATATAAGAAGAAAAAAAAAAAACATACCGTGTGGTCAGTTAACCAAATAAAAGATAACATAAATAATTTTACATGAGCACATTGTGCAAAGAGAAAAAAAAATCCAAAGGAAGATATACCATATTATTGTTGAGATGTCCAAATCTTGTTGACTGTATACAGTGCCATAATGATGGCCAAGCCAAAATGACAAACTTCTACTCCATCCTTAAACTGGACGGCAACAGACAGAAAAATTCTACAAAGATGATGATGTTAGATCAACAGGTGTAGATGTTGAGGATGATGATGTTGAGAAATTCTTTTTTGAACATAACCGTGATTTTTTCTTATGCCGGCTTGATCACACATGGGAGAGGGTACTTGACAGTGTGTTCATCATTATGGTTTTTTAGGATGAGAATCACAGGTGGTAGGAAATATAGATCAATTTAATCAATAATTATGTGTGTATGTGCAACACTGAACCTACGGATGTACGACGCGCACTGTTTGAATACAGTTACCTGTGACCTGATACTCATGATAATTTTATTACGTTACAAACTTATAGAAAAGTGTATGGATTGACACAATTTTTTTATGAGAAATAATATTTTCATTCGACATACTTTATCTTAATCTGAATATTAATAAGGAACTAGCAGATCATGTTACTTTTGAAATAATCCACCAATTTTTTAAAATTAAACACTATCTAAAGATTTGCATCGATGCGTTTTATTTTGATAGTGATTTTAATCACTATCAGATATCATTATACTTGATCCAACTATGCACGTCACCACTGTGCTGCGACCCTCCTGTACTGGATTTTTTTTATTGGTATAACTAAATTTATATAACTTATTTATCAATAATTTTAAAATTATAAAATAAATATATAAAATAAATTATAAAATTAAGTAGTAAATTTTATAATTTTCAAAGTGATCTAAAATAAATTCAATAAAAAAACTGATGAACATAAAAAAAAACCATAGAAAAAATTAAAAATATTCATCTCATGTGATAAACATTTTTTTTATACATATGTTAAAAAAAACTTCGACTAGATACGATTTGTGATCTTTTGACGTATCATTGAAAGAAATCGGTTGGGTGAGAGCTGAGAAAAAGTGGTAACAGACACAAAAAAAAAAACACATCACAAAAAGAAACCACTACCTTCTCAGCTTCGCAACGAAGATTAATTGATTTAGTGCAGAATAATAAACTTGCACTAAAAGATTATTTAAATATACATTTGATAATTTTTTAATTTATTTAAAAATACTAAATAACAATGTTTTCTTTAATTTTAAGAGTAATATTTTACATTGAATATTCAATTATTATTAAAAACAATGATAATATGACTTTGATTTAAGGAATTCTTACTTTAATTAAAAAGGTTGCATTAAAAAAATGACGATCTCGTATTATATTAAAAATATAAATATAAGTAAAGTGGGATTTTCTAACTGAGTACATAAATATTTTACCTTAAAAAAGTATTAATGATGTTGCTTAATGATATTCCATTATAAATCAAATCTATAATGCTGAAAATTATCATGGTAAAAATGAGTAGTAAATAAACATAAATTATGCTTCGTGAATTAATTTTAAACTGAAATTGAGACTTGTATTGTTTGTCAAATTTATGAATTTTATTAATGATTTGCGGTGTTGTTCGATCAGCATATATTGTCGTAATTAAATGAAGACATCCTTTCATAGTTAAATTAAATTTTCCATACATCAAACTAATTGATGTGTTAAATATATTATCAATAATCAAAATGCATAAAAACAACAAGTGCATAATCTGTAAATTAGTATTAAATTTAATCAACCATTAATCAATAACCTTCTTTATTTTGTTTTCTATGTTTATTATTACTAAAAATTATATTTTAATATTATTTATGATAAGTATAGAAATGGATGATTTTTTTTAACTGACTTTATTGTAAAAGTAATAAAAAAATGGTCACAGATGGAAAAAATTATTTGTTCTATTAAAAATTTTAATTAAATTCCTTTGGTATCAGTTTTAACTTTTAAAATTGTTAAGTAAAATATACAGTATAGTCTACAATGTTTTGACAAACCCTATAACTTATGATACAGCAAATATTTTGTGTTACATTTTTTTTTACTATTTGGAATACATATATATTATATATATTATTTATCTGTAATAAAAAAAAAGAGTTGTATATGATAATTTTTAAAACTTTTTGATAAGTTGATATCAACTTAATGATAAGTACTTTATTCCCTATGAAGCCTATACCTATTTTTAACATGCTTATATTAGTTTCACCTGTATGTATGTATGTATGTATGTAACTCTTCAAACGCCACGCGTTATCGCATATTCCGTCGTCTAGACTAGACTGTCATAACGCATTCACCCCTCCCCACACCTCGCCCTCCACTCGACAGCACACTATTCCTATAAAAATTTATTTTTAGTTATCGTACCCGTACACGCGTGCTTGTCATCAATATTATATATATATAAACAAATTTTTATTTTGACTGACCAATACCGCCCGCGTCTAATGCGCCTTACGTATATATATTTATATATTCCTACCACCGTTTATACCTCAGGTATAACGTTAGTCCGACCCGCCCGCCCACAAAATACGGTTATACCTAGTGCATGATACGTTTACGTACTTAAGTCGCTTTACTTGTATATATATGTATATATATATTCAAATTACTATTAAAATTTATTTATTAACACGCTTTATTTTAATTAAGAGATATAAAGTATTCATTCCGATTACGAGGGATGATTTCCGCATCGTCATTTTTCGTCACTATCTCCACGTTCCGGGAGTGAGTAATTTACGCGCCTGCTGCTTTCTTTGGATGTGGTAGCCGTTTCTCAGACTCCCTCCCCGGAATCGAACCCTGATTTCCCGTTACCCGTTACAACCATGATATTGATAGTAACTACTATCATAACATAAAACTAAAAAGTGAAAAATAAATATAGTTTAAAAGCGTGTTTTTTTAGTTTTTTTAAACTATATTTATATGTTTTCAAATGCTTGTTTCTCAATGAGTAACAAGCATTTGAATACATTACATAAACATGCATTTGTTCTAAATTTGTTATTAAGCCATCAACATTTTTTGTGGAGCTAAAAAATAGTTATTTCAATATTTTGAAAAAAAAAAAAAATTAGTTTTATTTTATTTGTTTTTTCTTTATGGTTATAAATAATATGATCAAAAAATATGACTTAAGTGTAGTCTACGAAGGCAATAATTATTTTTTAAAAAATTAACAAAATGAGTTGTATTAAAAGTTATAAGTGATATCAGTTAAATATGAGACACTGTATGATACATGCTTTTTCATTTTTTTAATTAGTTATTTGAGATACTTACTATTAGAAAAAAAATATTCCATCCCCATTCAAATTCAAAAACGCCAGAATAAACATTTTTAACACTTGTAAATAATAACAATTTTTCAATAATCAACGTTGTTCTTATATCGTTATAAATACTTTGTTTTAACATAGTTATTTTTATGTATTTCAAGGAACATACTACAAACACCAATCTTTTGTTATTGAATATATAACTTTAAAACGCTTTATTATTAAATGTCTTTTGGCGAGATTATGTTTTGAGATAATAATTTGTCGCTTAATTAATTGAAGTAGTTTAATAAAATACATGTTTAAAATCTAAATTATACCAATTAAATATTAATGAAAATAATAATTCTTCGATACATTAATAGTATGTTAAAAGCATACGTTTGACTATACTTTAAGATTATCCGATTTTTAAAACGTTCATATAAATGTGTTGCTGTGTTCATTGCAAATTTAGAAATAATTTATTTTATCTGAAGTAATCTAAAGATAAAATTTAATAGCCCATGAATTATTCTTAACATTTATATTTCTCCAGGGAACTGAAAATGAATGTTATTACCAACAGTCATTGGCTAATTTAAATGTTTCTAAATTAATGTTCGTTTAAATATTAATAAAATGTACTTATGAATGTTTTTAATTAAGTAGTAATATGTGTACGCAAATATTTATCAGATATGAAGGTATTAACCTATTTAATAGATCAACTCAAAATTTAAATAGCATAATTATAACGCAATAATAATGTAATTCCATGTAAGAACAACATTGCAATATTGGAAACATTGCCTTTAATTACATATAATTTAAAATTAATTACTAAATTGCCATTTAGTACTACAAGTATGGAAGAATACAGTTTTATGATAAATCGATGATTATTGTGTTTATATTAATTTCATTTTGATACTATCTATACTCAGGTAAGTCTAGTATAAAGAACGATATCGGGATAATTATGAAAGATGAGATGAAAAGTAAAGTATGAGCAATTGTTAGGAAAACTCACAGAATTATAGTCGCAAAATTGATTTTCGAGAAAAAAGTGCTGAATGTAATAAGTGCCTATGCACCATAAGAAGGATATAATGAAATAGATAAGGAAGTGTTTTGGATAGAGATAGTTGACATGATGCAAGGAGTAGAATATAGAAAAACAGAAGAAAGACGGGTAAAAATACCCGGATCTGGTAGTGGAAATTGAAAGGAGATTATGGAAAAGATGAGGATGGTATGAAATGTCGAGAAAAACATAAATGATGCGTGGAATTGATTTGCTAGTCGTGTAAAGAATACTGCAAAGGAAATTGTTGGTAAGAGTAAAGGTAGAATGCCAGAAAAGAAGGAAACTTGCAGAGGTATAAGACCGTTAAAAATTAATAGAAAGTAAAAAAATCTATTTCAAGAATGGCAAAAGAGCGAAATGAGAGAAAATTGGACGGAGTATAAACTTTGTCCAAATAACCCAAGTGTGTAGTAAGTAAGGAGTAGTTTAAGATGTATAATAGGTTAGGAACAAAGGAAGGCGAGAAAGAAATCTATATTAGTATGCAATATATCTATATTATGTAATTTCGTATTAAATAGATCAACTCAAAATCTAAATAGCATTATTATAACACTATAATGTTATTCTATATATATAGATAATATTAGAATATTGGAAGCATCGCCTTTAATTACATACAATTTACAATGTTTCTATTTAATACTACAAATATTGAATTATACATTTTTATGATAAATTGATGATTATTTTGTTTGTGTTATTTTAATTAAGATGATATCTATATCATCTCGATATCCTTTCATCGTTTTAAATATGTCAAATAAAAAACATAATATTAAAATAGTAATACTTTAAATCTTCATTCTTTAAAATAACATTTATACTATAACTTATTAAGATTTTAAATTATATTCAACTCAATCATATTAAATAATTACATTTAGTTTTATTTTTTATTAAAATTGTTGTGTTTAATTTTAATGAATCCTCATAAGACTTTATTTAAAAACTCACCAATACATCAAACTGACAATATTATTAAATCAAAATTTCTCAATTCATTAAAGCTAATTAATTTTCTTTATTTATTATGTGGATTTAGAAACCTGTCATTCTGTGTTTGGCCATCTAAATTTTTAATTTTGAAAGGTTCAAGAGTGCTCATTCTTGATGAATTTTTTCGAACAGGAATCTACTGTTTACTATCATTTCTTTATCTTCAAAGGCCACCATTTTATTGTTTTTACTACGACTTAATTCATTTTTGGTTAACCTTTTTGGTTATTCGGTATAGTGAAAAAATAACAATAAAGTAAGTAAATAATTCTACAACATTAAAAGTTTCAAATCATATTTTAAAACAGTTGCAGGTTCATCGAAAATATTCTCAACTATCATTTTAAATATTCTACTCTTCCACCGCTTATTGAAATGCCTGCATTTAAAAATAAATTTTGGATTTCAATTTTAATACTATTCATCACTTTTAAAATAATAATACTCATTATACTTACATTAGCACTCCCTAGTAGAAGGTTCAGCATTATGGAATTCACAACAAATGTCGTCTTTGACATACCGAGATTAACTGACTTTGTTATTGTTTTTAGTGCATGTTTTTTCTTAAAACAAATAGGATATAGATTTTCCATTTTAGACATGGCATATAGTATATTTGTTATTTTATATTTAAATATAACAATAACTCCAGGAATTTTCATAATAGCACAAGATACTCTATTCATCATTGTACTTCTGAAACAAGCAACTTGGACTTTTAATCGGGTAATTTTAGATAATCGTACATTAGTAAGTCAATATCTATTGAAAATCCATTAATTTAATTTCAATTATTTAACTCAAAATAAATAATAGTAATTACAATTTATTTATCATGTTCCTTTATATTTTAATTTATTTAATAAATAAATAAAATAAAGCATCGTACATTTAGAAAAGAAAGATTATTTCATTTTTGCGATTATGTCAAATTGCCGATTTACCGGAAGACAAAAGAATACAGGTGAATATTAAAAATAGTAACATAATTATAGCACAACTCGCTATATTCAAAGTTATATTTTATAAAATACTTTGAGTATGAATTTTATGGATAAATTATTTTATAAAATTAGTACTTTTATAGATATCATTTTTAGTATATAATATTTTATTTGTTTTTAGATTTGTTTAAATTTCGTTTTATGTAATTTTATAATCTATAGTTGCAGTTTTTTATGAAACAAGTTTCTTGTTATGATAATAATGAGTTGGCATCAAGTGGCACATTTAAATACAATTTAAAACTAATTTTATCGGTAAGGTTTTATTATAAATACTCCATAAAGTATTATATAAATTATTAATATTATAACAGTTAAAAAATCATGAAAGTGTAAAGTTAAACCAATTAAATAACATATTTATGTTAATTAGTTTATTAATTAAGAAAATAATAAATAAGCCATAAAATTATCCAATAGAGATGGTGATATTTATTTAATTTTCTCTATTATTATTTGTTATAGTGGATATATTAATTGGTTATTGTTAACATATTAATTTTTTTATTCTACACATAAAAAATTATAAATAAATTATTTACATACATTAAGTTGCTTCATTTTTTACAATAATTATTTCTTCATTCTCAACTCTAATTATCGTTGGAAATATCAAAAATGTTACCTGAAGGTTAAAGCTTATAATTTTAATATTAAGCACTTTCCCAGTGTAAATAATGATTAAAAATCATTACATAAGAAAAAATCATAATACTAAGAATGAGGTTGTCTAATTTAAGTACCCACCCAAAATCTCAAGCTTTTATAGTTATAAAATGTTTAGTACCTTATAGACGACTTTGATATTAGTATTTTTAATTTCAATCAAAGTAACAATTCTTTGTAAAAAAGATTTTAAAAAAAATTTGTTTTATTTAATTAAAAATAATTATATAAGATATTTTCAAATTTTATAAGTCAATGTCCTATTTCATAATTTTGACATATTAATGGGAGTCAAATATTTATTTATTAGTACGAGCATATTTCATCCGTAGTCAGTTTGAATTTATGTTATTTTAGTTATCCTAAAAAAAATTGTTGGTTTAAACATCATGTTTTCCATGTTAATAACATAGTATTTATAATTTTTATTTTATATCAGTTTTTATGTCAGTTTGTATATTTATAAACNTATTTATATCAGTTTTTATGTCAGTTTGTATATTTATAAACTCACAGCAATGTGCCTATCTACCATTGTTAATAAATGCTACGTATCTGCGAATATCGATGTCAAAAATATCTTCTGGTATTTGTAATCCGCTGTGTATTATGTATTCATATTAACTCAAAAATTTGAAACTTTAAATGTTATTTTCTTATAAACTAATAAAGTTATATAAAAAACGGTAGCACGGTGGGATCGAGGCACAGTGTGGACGAGGCATAGATGGGACAAGTATAGATGATATCTGACAGTGATTAAAATCACTATCATAAGAAACGCTTCGATGCAAATCTGTAGATAATGTTTCATTTAAAGAAATTGGTGGATTATTCCAAAAGCAACATCAACTCTTATTTCTTTAATTATATCATGATTAGTAGTTCTTTGATTTTTAAATATATTATATGAATAAATACTAATTATAGTTTTTAAATTGAAATTGTGAGGCCAGCTATGATGTATGGTTCATAGTGTTGGGCGGTTGATAAGAATGTAGAGCAGAGAATAAGTGTAGCAGAGATGAGAATGCTTAGTTGGATGAGTGGAGTGACTAGAGAAGATAGGATAAGGAACGAGCATATAAGAGGAAGTATAGGTGTTGCGTCAATCGTGGATAAGATGACAGAANAGATGACAGAAAATAGACTTAGATTGTTTAGTCATGTTATGAGGAGAGAAGAATCAGAAGCTGTAAGAACAGTTATAGAAATGAATGTTGAAGAAAGAAGAGGTAGAGGAAGACCAAAAAACAGATTGAGGGATGTTATTGAATGCGATATGAGGACAGCTGATGTAAGTGTAGATGATGTGGAGATCGTGTCAAGTGGTAGCTTAGGATAAGGGTGGCCGACCCCAAGTAGTTGGGATTAAGGCAAAGAAAAAGAAAAAGATTACCAGAAATTCCGGTGGCAATTGACATAATATGATTGTTGTTTGGGAATGTACAATTTAGCGTTTAGTTGGGTTTAAACAATATAGTGTCAAATCAATTACCTACTCTATCAGTTGTATCTTAATATACACTACACTTAAATGATACTATAAATAAATATGCATTTATAACATTGTGTCTAATGTATAACATGATAAAAAGTAACCGTGAAATGAAAAAAATGGAATATAAATTTTAATAATCATATTAAATGTAATGTAACTCGAAAAATATTTGATTAAATGAAAAAATATAAGATAATTTTTTTGTTTATAATTGTCTTTTAGACAACTTTTGTACGAAACTTTTTTTTCGTAGGTTAAATATTTTTTGAGAAAATTAAAAAAGCTAATATTTTTGAACTTTTGCGAGGCTGTAAAAAAAAAAGCTCAATTTCAATCGATGAGGACTAGTAGTATGTCATTATACATATTTTAATTCAACTATTAATAAAACAAAATTTGGTTGGGAATTTTTTAAGAAATTTTTCCTTTGTTGACTGGCCTAGATGTCAATTTTAAACTTGTAATTGAGCTAAAAGTTATGGTAATATATTCAATTTATTTTACTATAAACTTTCATAAATCTTTATCAAAAATTTTTCATCAACTTTAAAGAACCAAAAAAATAGGTTAAAATTGAAAATTTGGACTGATTATTTTTAACATATTAAAAATCAAATCAGTAATAATTTGAAAACAAATTTTTTTTTCTTTTAATTATTATTTTATATATATAATTAGTAATAATATAAAAAATTAGAAGTGATAGAAAAAGTCTAATTGCAGATTTGAAAACAACGCGAAAATTTGATTTAGAAAAGTATATTTTTGCTTCTGATGAAAGTTCCTTGTAGTCCAGTGCATTTATTTATAGTAACAAACAGTTTTTATTGAAAATTATTGTATCAAGCCCTTTAAATTTTTATACACGTAAAAGTAAAGCAAAATATAACTTCTTTATTATTTTTATAATTTTTCCGTTTAAATTACAATATTAAATTATTAAATAACAATTTCATACTAAATTTAAAAACTATAATTAGTATTTATTCATATATTATATTTTAAAATCAAAGAACTACTAATCAGGATATAATTAAAGAAATAAGAGTTGATGTTGCTTTTAGAATAATCCACCAATTGCCTACTTTAAAAAAAAAAAAAATTGGTTGGGAATTTTTTCTGCTATTCACCAAAATTACTCCTTCGTCGACTAGAATGAATCATTAAATAGAAAAATTTATGAGAATTAAAACAATGTTATTTTTAAGATTAATATGCAGTCAGGAAATTTTATAATTACTATTTACAGTATATTTATCAGAAAAACTCATTATATTTTTGCATTTTTATCGTAATAGAACACTTAAATAGAAATCATAGTAATCATTTTTAACTAATTTTTGATATTTAAAAAGATTCTACAATTGAAATATCCAGAACTGCATTAATTTTAATGATTTACTTTAACTAAAAATGATAAACTATAGTAGATTTTCCACCTGGTAGTGATATTCCGCTCAAAACAAAGTTTGAGATAGCACGTGAATCTCAAAAGAGCAAAGCATTTGCTCGAAAACAACGTCATGACCGCATAGGTCCACACACTCTTTTTAATATCGGAGATACTGTGTTGGTGCGATCACACAAATTAAGTTCAGGTGCTGACAAAATAATCAGTAAATTTTTTATGTTATATGATGGTCCATATATTATTGTAGATGTCAAAAATACTAATTCATATGTCCTCCAAGATCCTGATAATGGGAAGATTAAGGGAACATATAATATAATCTTTTTGCGGAAGTACAGAGATCCTAATCAATAAGTCTNTTTTGCGGAAGTACAGAGATCGTAATCAATAAGTCTGCATCATAAAATTTTTTTGTCTTTTCTTTTGAATTCCATTTTGGTCAGTTCAATCTCTTGAGAAGTTTTGTCGTTTTACGTCAAATCTTCTCAGGGGGGTTTCTGTAACGTGA